GTGTGAGAGAGTGTGTGTGTGTGTGTGTGTGTGTGAGAGAGTGTGTGTGTGTGTGTGTGTGTGTGAGAGAGTGTGTGTGTGTGTGTGTGTGTGTGAGAGAGTGTGTGTGTGTGTGTGTGTGTGTGAGAGAGTGTGTGTGTGTGTGTGTGTGTGTGAGAGAGTGTGTGTGTGTGTGTGTGTGTGAGAGTGTGTGTGTGTGTGTGTGTGTGTGTTGTGGCATTCTGTTATAAGGAGCTGTTGCTCGTGGTATGGTAATGACTCAAGTATTCAAGTAAAAATCCTTCAGATGTAGGCCTAATAACTAATAATTCAGAACAGTATTCTGAAGTAGAAAGCATGATGAGTCTCTATAGTGACTGTAGTTACTGTAAGCGTTTGAGGTTTTGGATAGTCATTCCTTCCTTCTGATGGATTTGCTAACGCTCGAGTCATTATTAGTAAGTAACCACGATCTTCCAAATAATTAGTAATAACTTCAGAACGATGTAGTAACACTAATAATAATAATAAAAACGGTAATAATAATAACAATGTCTTATTTATATAGTGCCTTTCAAGATCCCAAGGACGCTTTACATAACGTTAATAGATAACATGAACACAAATACAAACATACAGTCACATGATCAAACAAATAAAGCAGACAGAGATCATCTAAAGTACCAGACGAGTAACGAAACAAGCATGGAACTGAAAAATGAGGCAGACAATCAATTAACAAAACAAGTTGTAAATAAATGAGTTTTGAGTCATTATTAGTGGGATACCATCATTCTTACAATAACTGTTAATGATAATCTAATCTTGCTGTGCTAGTGAGCATACTGTATTTCTATATTTCTGTGAGGCACGTTAAATACATCAGACTCAGAATGTTCCAGCATCTCTCGCGATTCAGTGAGAATTAATTCTTAATTCTCTTTCTTGAAGTAGTATGAAAAAAAAAAAGTTTTAGAGGGATGCTGGAAAATTAGCTACAAGAGTAAGATCCAGAAAACTGCATTTAAAACAACAAAACTATTTCTTTAACATTATCCAGAGTTATTAAATAGTTCTGTAAGAGGACTGACAAATTGTATTTATTTATTTGGACGAGCCATAACACAACTGAACTGTCCAGAGCTGTGTGATCGGTGAATAAAGAGCTCTTTATCTGCATCTCTACCCTGTCACAGATCACCAGCTGAAGATCGCTTGCTACTCTACAGCAGATTCTGAGAGCAGGGGAAGAACAGTATACCAGCGTCTGTAAGTCCTGAGGTCAAACCTGACTGTGGCTGTTTATGACACGCAGCTCTTTTACACGAGGCTTCCCATGACATGAAATCTATACTTTATGGTTATTATGACGTTCTGTTCAGCTAGCTGCAGTTGTTCTCTAATTGTAAGGATGCTGTCTGATCGTAGGCATTCAGCTCAGTGTCAGTCAGAATCTGCTGGCCTGTGTCTGCTGGAGTGTGTTTGAGTGACCGCCGCTCAAACTGCTCTCGTCGCATCACTGCTGCATCCTACATATCCCAAAACACACAACAGTTACAAATATATCTCTTCACACCTTTTTGTATAGTTTGACATTACAAGTTGCATTTCTGTGCAAGTTGCAATTGTGTTCAAGTGGACAGCAATCATAATAAAAAAATAATAAAAATCAAATCAAATAAATTAATTGAAAGTCAACTAGAAATGGCTCCTCGTGATAACAATATTTTTACAGAGTAGATTTATTGCATTATACATGAATCAAAACAAAGGCTCTGTGTTCATGTTCATGCACACATTCATGCTTACCAACTACCTATACACAGTTTTGTTCTGATATTGATAATAGAAGATGTTTAGAAGATGTATTATAATACACATATAGATTGATTTCAGCATGGAGAATTTGATGTAGCATTGCCATTATTTTTGTTTAAATATAAATACCTTTTAAAATCATGTAATCACAATTACATAAAAACACTAAATCATAAACATTTCATGTTTTTTCCTTCTTTTTAATCATGCAAGAATCTTCTGTATGAGTTTTGTAGTGTAGGGCACAGGCTGATGACTGCTGAGACACGGTTCAGTCTTAGAATAACAGTGTTTACTGTCTACTACATACACACTACTACAGACCTACCTGCCACCTTTTCTGTGTAAGAAACATACATGTACCAATAATAGTCATTCTATTGAAGTGTTTGCTCCGTTCATGCATTTCTGGGAACTGAACCCATAACCTTGGCATTGCTAGTGTTGTGCTCTACTGTTTAAGCCACAGGAAAACTTGATCTAAATTCTGACGGTTAGAAAATCACACTTTCTTCCTGGCAGCGGCAGATCTCTGCTGAGCTAGTATCAGCACTATAACGTTTTTTAACAATTGTTACAATTGACCCTTGTCTAGTGCTTCATACACAAGCTTGAAAACAATGTGGAAGAAAAAAAAAATGAATGAGTGTTTTGCAGCTGACATCCGTCACATCATCATTACTGCGGGTAAGGTCACATAATGCCTGAGGAAGAGGAAGGCCTGTGGCGTAGGGGTCGCTGGCGGAAGCGTGTGCACTGGGACGAGGTTCGGACGCAGGATACAGACTCAGCGAGCAGAAATAACAGGAAGCCCACAGGACAAATCAATGACACGAGGAGTCAGCTCAGTTCTTACGACAGCAGAGAAGAGCTGCAGAGACAGAGAGGAGAGAAGGAGAAGTGCGTGGAATCTAAAACATTTGTGTGATAGCTTTCATACAGAGAGGTACATTTGGAAAGACTCAGTAAAGTCTTGTGAATGCACAGGTGTGATGACTATACAGAAATCAGTACAGAAGCGGTCAGTTGATGCAACATGTCTTCAATCACTCTGCTCGCAGCATCAGCTATTAAACAAGCTTTCATTAGCCGATGTTGAGTGCAGAGCAACTGATGACGTATTATTATAGAGTCTAATGCAGGCAAGTGACAGAGTTACCTTCGAATGTCTGTGCTATTAAATAAATGTGTTATAACTCGCTCAGCAAGACTCTCAAAATATTGATTAGTCGTTATCAAAGCTGCCGGTTAGACTCTGAAATGGCCATTGTGGACACGGTAATCGTCTGATCTTAACGATGACATGGCCAGAGTTCAGCCGTCTATCTGCTAAAACCTGCTGGAGATCTCAGGAGTCCCAGAGATGTCTGCAGCTCCCTCTCGTTCTCAGGTTTCGGCTCTCGTCTCTCTCCCCACGTGTATCACGTTCTGCTCGGTCAGGGAGTCTAGCGCTGAGAGGCTGATCAATAATACATCTCATTCACAAACACCCACAAGGTCACAGAGCGATCATCAGCTGAAGACCTGAGCCACATCTAGAGACTCAAGGGTGGGCTAGTGACCGTATCGCATTACAGTGCCCTAAAACACGCTGCCAAACACGGGCACCACTCACATTTCTGCAGGCGTTCATTGCATGTAAACTCCAAGGTTTCCGTTTGTGTTTCAGCTGAACATCTTGGTGGATACGGGCAGCAGTAATTTTGCAGTCGGCGCCGCCTCTCACCCGTTCCTCCACAGATATTACCATCGCTCTCTGTGAGTACTACTAACTATTCACACTAGGGGTGTAACGGCACACAAACATGACGGTTCGGTACATACCTCGGTGTTAACGTCACAGTTCGGTATGGTTTCGGTACAGCAGGAGCAAAAAAAACTAAATTGCTTCTTTTTTTTTTTTAAATAAACAAACAGTGGTTTACTGAACAAATTGCTCACTCTTTAAATAAATTCAATTATAATTCAAATTTTCTAAGGAATAAAAATTTATCTCAGCTTCTGCCCTAAAGTCTAAACTACAGTGAGCTCTTTCACATTACTATAAGATCACAATTAACAACAGAGCCCAAACTGAAATTTAACCAGTGTTTATTTTTTAAATATAATAATCAACAAATGACTAAAAATGTATGTCAATTGCACATAATGCAGTTTTAAGTTAACTTCTGAATCCAATTATACAATTTATATTTGTTGTTTAAATATAATCATTTACACAGTGGCTGTCATAACTTGTTTCATAACAGACTTATTTAAACATACATTAAGACATCGCTAACAGGTAAAGTAAAATATGAGTATATAGTCTAATATTGCACGAAATTCTCCTCTCTAGACGTGATTTGCCTAGTGAACTATCAAGCTGTGGACACTGATGACTTGTCTGAGGTTTTAATGACGTAGTAAAGAGTGAGATGATCGCGCTGCCGTCAGAACTGAGACGTTTATACAGCGATCTGTCATGTTACATCAAAGACCCCCAAAACAGCATTTATTGTCTGAATTCACTGAAAAAAATACATAATTTGAAAGACGAAACCTTGTTTCTTGTCAAAAGTAACAATGTGTAAAACTGGAAGTTTCTAATGAAGTTTCACTCATGGAGTGCGTACCGAACCGAAAGACCCATACTGGAAATGTTTGTTATGAATACGTGTACCGCTACACCCCTAATTCACACACAAATGGGACACAATATATGTTATATGTGAAGAAGCTGCTGCCAGAGTCGGGTTGGTGTTTGTGTCGACAGCTCGTCGTCGTACAGAGATCTGGGCCACGGCGTGTATGTGCCATACACACAGGGCCGCTGGGAGGGCGAGCTGGGCACGGACCTGCTGTCCATTCCTCACGGGCCCAACGTGTCTCTGAGGGCCAACATCGCTGCAATCACCCAGTCTGACCGCTTCTTCATCAACGGATCTAACTGGGAGGGCATCCTCGGGCTGGCCTACGCCGAGATCGCCAGGGTGATCTTTCTGTAGCTGTCATAACCTCACAGAGCTTGATGAAGAGGCGCTTCTGACCGGGTTCTGTGTCTTTCAGCCGGACGAGACTCTGGAGCCGTTCTTCGACTCTCTGTTGAGGCAGACCAGTGTCCCAGACGTCTTCTCCCTGCAGCTCTGCGGCGCGGGCTTCACACAGAACTACAGCGCCGGCAGCTCCACTGTAGGGGGCAGTATGGTGAGAGAACAGGGGAAAATGGGGAAAGTAGAGGATTTCCATGCCAGAAACGGTTAACTGACCCTGACGTTCTATCATTAACTCTTCTCTGGAACACAAAGAGAGATGTTTTGCATATTTTCCCACATGCTGTGAATGAGAATCAGACTGCAAGCCCTGAAAAGGACAAGAAAACATTGATAAAACATCATAAAAATAGTCCATATTATTATTCTAAGTCTTATGAAATCATAGGATAGTTCTGTATGAGGAGCAGACTAAAACTGCAGCCATATGAAATATTTTTAACTTTTTAGATTTGATCCTTTTTGGAGCTTGTCGACATGAACATTGTGCTTAACATCTCTTTTGTGTTTTGCACTGACAAATGAATTTAAATGAACCCTTACCATTAGTAAAATCACCAAAAACATTTGGTGGTTAAACTTTTATTTTTATTTTTTTTGGAAGTAGATACAATAAAATAGTATTTTCTTGTAAAACTTAGTCCAGTATTTTTTTTTTATTTTTTACAGTGTACCATGTGTAGTTAAAGAACTTTATGTAACATGAAACAGAACAACTTCAGTGGCATACTATGAAAGATTGTGTTGGTTCTTCACAGATTATTGGGGGAATCGATCCGTCTCTGTGTGTTGGCGAGCTGTGGTACACACCAATCAGACGGGAGTGGTATTATGAGGTCATCATCGTGCGCATCGAGGTCAACGGACAGGATCTCAACATGGACTGCAAAGAAGTGAGAACAACTCTCCTGGGTTTGCCTCGAAGCATTTATTACTTTTGAGAAAACAGACTTCACAGATGCAGTTTCAGTATCTTCAAGCACATGCACTTTTACGTGTCATGAGCTGTTTCCTAAACATAACAAGCTGTTGCTGTTTTCACATGCCTTTTACGTAGAGATTTTATTGATTTACTCTTGTCTCAAGTCCAGACAATCTTAAAATATAAAAATCCATGAACTACATTCAAATTTTAACACATTTTACCTAAATTACATTTGTAAAGTTATGATCTAAACAAAGACTACAAGAAAGATAAATCATTTCATAATTATTGTGATTTTTTCCCCAATTGAAGTTACACCTGGCCCTTCATTATTTATAACCAGACCAACAATTTTGGCTTTAGTAAGAGTACAAAAAAGCTAGTATACTTTGTATATAAAAGTATAATATACATTGTAAGTGAAGAGAATACTTGAGACTTTGTCAAATTATGCAAAAACTGCAAAAAATATGATTTAATTGTATTTTGGATTCATATAATTAGCATTAGCAAGACAAAGGAGTTTGCTATTTAATTTCAGAAATATTTCACCATCTGAACAACATCAAACACAAAACAATTTAAAATATAATGGAAATGAACCTTTGATGGAAGTGTTAAACTTCTAAAACCAACTTGGCCTCTTATGCATGTATGCCCAGTGTTGGACATTCCCAGCGGACACCTTGATATCAATTTGACGTTAAATAATAGTCAAGACTTGTTCAAAAAGCTGTAACATCATTTTAAATTCAGTTTGGATGGCAATTTCTTCCAGGGGTAATTGCGAGAAAATAGGAAGTTAAACCCACACTGAAATTGGTTTAATGTATATGTAGGCTAATATGTTTGACTTTTTAATTTACATCAAATCAACCTCACGTTTTACTGTCAGATTGTTTTGCATATTCAACCTGTTTTTTTTTACGTCAATATTGATATCAGTCTTTTCAACACCAATTGTCCACTGGGTTTTTAGAAGTCTTGAATTGAATTGAATAAATTGAAAAAAACTAGGAGGTGTTTGAAATGTGCATTTTGAACAAGTCTATTTTTAAATGTCCATAAAGACAAAATTACATACTGTTGAAGAAACATTTCTGTATTTTTCCAGTTGTTCATGGTTAAGAATACAATCGAACAGTTTTATTTCTTAAACAGAGGTAAAGTAAAAGCAAAGCTTCTCATTGTTTCTCTCTGTCTCTCAGTATAACTATGATAAAAGTATCGTGGACAGCGGCACCACAAACCTGCGTCTCCCTCGTAAAGTGTTCCAGGCGGCTGTGAAGGCCATTGAAGCGGCTTCATCGGTCGGTGTATATCGTCTGTGTTGGGCTCATTTTTGAACATGATGAAAGTTCTGGGTTTTCTGGCTCATCTGGCTCTTTTCCCCACAGACTGAACAGTTTCCCTCAGGTTTCTGGCTGGGCGAGCAGCTGGTGTGTTGGCAGGCGGGCAGCACACCCTGGCACATCTTCCCTGTCATCTCTCTCTACCTGATGAGTGAAAACACAAACCAGTCTTTCCGCATCTCCATCCTGCCACAGGTACTTCATTCTGCCATCAGACTAGCTTCATACTGACACACGAATACATCCGCTAAAATGTGCAAAGTGCACTGTCTGTAACACTGTATCCCACAGTTCAATGCAGTTCTCTCACTTTTACCAGTTACAATCACTCCCCCTTGTGGAGGAGCGGGATCTCGTTTCTGTACCACCAGTAATTATGCTGTCTCTATTCCCTCGAAGGATGAGTTTTGTCAGTTACTCCCTGAAACAAAACATTAACAATATATCCACACACAAAAGAGCAAACTTCAGCTCGCACTTATGAAGAGTAACAAATGTCAATGTTAGCGTGCATCTTAGTTCACCCAAAAATGAAAATTCAGTCATAATATACTCACCATCAAGTTGTTCAAAACCTGTATAAATGTTTGTCTTCTGCTGAATACAAAAGAAGATTTTGAAGAACGTTGGTAACCATACAGTTAATTATAGCCATTGACTATTTATTTTTTTCAATAGACCAATTCAGAGTAGACGTCACAGTTACGTCACTTGCAGCTGCGCGCGCATAGTGGTTGCAGAAAAACTTTGGGAACAAGTGGAGATAAATGGGCAAAATCCATGGAATAAAATAAAAAATATATATTTGTGCCTTTTGATGTCAATATTGGAATGCAAATAATTTTTATAGAATACTGTCCTCAAAGACGCCATTTGAAGCTAAACGCAGACGTTTAAATGGACATACTATGGATGAAAACTGTTATGATTACTGAGTTTGTCAAATCTGAGGGAAAAAGCCAGAAGAGCTGAGGGGAAAAGAGAGAATGACGAGTTGTTTTTCCTTTTTAGAATTGTGAGATATAATCTTGGAATTGCAAGAATAAAGTCAGAATTTTGAAATATAAAATCAAATTTACCTTTTTTTTATTCTTTTATTCCATGGCTCCATAGACTGCCGCTTGAAAACCCTCATTTTCTGCCTCCAGATAGGCTCCGCCCACAAAAAACAACCCGTCATCCCTGTTTCGGATCTGTAAGACTATCCCACTCTCTAACCTCAATTTCGTTGAATAACAGTGCTTATCGCAGGGTGACAAGCTCTTGTAATATGCGGAGAACATTTTGAAAATGACATCTAATCAATATCATTTATAATCTTTTTAAACCTAACTATTTTGTACCCTATCCGTGAAATTCTCTAGCCGAAAAGGCTATCTCCCGGGTTTTCTGCAACCATGATGCGCGCACATCCTGAATGTTACAAACCTATAATTGGTCTATACTATGGAAGTCAATGGATACCAACAACTATTTTGTTACCCACATTTTCATTTTTGGGTGAAATATATATATATAAATATATAAATGTAAATGTTATGATAACAGCAGTGCTCCATTGAGGTTTGTCTATTTGGAGATTATCAGCTTTTTCTGCTCTTAGGGCCTCATTTATTAAAGTGCCCCTATTATGGGTAATGAAAGGTTCATATTTTGGTTTTGGGAGTCCCCAACAACAGGTTGGCATGCATGCAAGGTCAAAAACACTTTCATTGTCTTATAATATTTATTTTTTACCTTACTTGCTCAATGACTCCCAAACGATTCGCTCAACTGTTCATTTTTCCAAACCCCTGCTTTGCGTGACGCTAATCTGCGGTGATTGGTGCGATTGGTCTCATGTTCATTTCATCTCGCCTGTAACGCCTGATAAAGCAGCGTTTGTGAGCGCAGTGCTGCTTTGTGTACAGTGTTACCGGGGAAACCGATATTTTACCGCAAATAATTAATTTGCATTTTCATTCAGACCAACGCGAAAAGACCAACAAGTAGTCGGACAATATGCTAATGTTTATACACGGTGCACTTTCAGATTTAAAACTTTGCAGGATGTTTTCATTCACTTAGAGCTGTGTTACACACTGCATGAAAGGTAGTTTACAAAAATCGTCTCGGGTTACTTATGTAACCATGGTTCCCTGAGTAGGGAACGAGACACTGCGTCCTCTAGGGGTCACTATGGCATAGGAGACTATAATGCAGGAAATGTCCCACCTAACCTTGGTCAGGTGGAGATATGGTGGTTACAAGGGAATTAGGAAGGTGAAGATAAGGGCAGATGTAAAACCCCCAAAGGAAATGAGTAGATACTGAGGTATCACTCTGATCCGGACAAAAGCGCTGACGCCCTGTCTGGATGACATCCCTTAGGTCTTTTACTTACCTTCCTTTGACCCACGATTCTTCCTACTCCTCCCCGCGGGCAGGGGAGGAGCGCGAGCCGCGACGCTAGCCTTCTGAGCCAGTCTCTGATCCTCAAACCGAGACGGGCTAAGATCCCAGGGTTTGTTCGGGCTCAGAACCGGACTTCGTGAAGGCCGCTATCCCGGTCTTTCAGCAGGTCAGCCTGATATGCTTGGAGCATCACCATCGTGTGCAATGAAGCGACAGCCTGACCTGCTGCTGCTGTGTATGCTCTGGCATCCGAGCGAGATGTCAAGGAGGGGAGTCTTAGAGGACGTCTCACCCATAGAGCGATAGCTGGTCAGCGTCTCTCTATAGGGGCATCTTCTCATAACTGCTTTTGCGCATCACCTCAATGTTGGCATAACTTGTATGCTGAAATCGATGGATGCGTGAGGAAAAAATGGCCTCTTCCATTCCTTCTTAATCTTTATATGGAAAACAGGAAGAAAGGAAGGCTCACCTGAGCTGGAGGGTTATGGCCAGAAAAATAACGTTCATCGAGATATTCGCGACGTCGTGGCGCAATCCATAATTTCCAAAAGCTCATCATACGCAGGACAGGAGGATTGGGAAGGCTCAGCCTCAGCTTCTTTGCCTTCTTCAGACAATTCCTGCTTTTGCTGGGCTGATCCCAGCAGAGTACTGGCCCCTGAATCAGACAATGTTAATGAAATAACATCATCCTCCAGCGGCTCACTCTCGTCCACAGCCAATAGGGGCATTTTAAATGTTGTGCAGAAACCATCCTAAATTTGATTTTGCAATCAAATTGATCTAAGTTTGATTCTCATCTCTCAAATATGCATACGTGTGATTCATAGAATGAACATACGCACAGAAAACACATGTACGCGTCTCTTTCAGATGTGAAATCCATGAATTGTAAATTATCTTGAACTTGCACGGAACTGAATGGTTTCAGCTCTCTGCCTTGTAAATGACTCCTAATTAATGACATTAACATGTAAAAGATCACCAGTCATCGTCCAAATCCTTTAATGTAGAACAGCGAGCTGCAAGAACAGCTTACATTTCCAAAAACCTGCAGTACTCGAACAAGAAAAAGAGCATACGTCTGCTCAGACCCTGACGTGACGCTAAGCACTTTTCCACGTCAAAGACTTGATCTCTAAGATCAAATCTGTGCATATGCACACTTTATAAGAGAGGCCATTAATGTCTACATGATCATGAGTTTCCTGGTCTGTAATGGTTTGTGAATGCATGTGTGTGAGGTTGATATCCGTCTGTCTCGTCTCTCTGCAGCAGTATCTGAGGCCGGTGGAGGACGTGGCCTCGGCTCAGGAGGACTGTTATAAATTCGCTGTGTCTCAGTCCAGTACTGGGACGGTAATGGGTGCCGTCATCATGGAGGGTTTCTATGTGGTGTTTGACCGAGAGCACAGACGCATCGGCTTTGCGGTCAGCACGTGTCACGGTGAGAGAGCTTTTTCTCTGAGAAACTTACAGTGGCCTCAAATGGTATCACACTTATGCCTATGGGATTTTTTTGTTCCTTTATTTCAAATAGATAGATTATGATTCACAAATAAATGTAAGGAGATTCACAAAAACAGGGGTGGTGTTTCTGTTTGGCAGTCGCCATACCCTAGCCCAGTCAGATGTGCCATGGAAAATTATCCAAACTTCATGTCTCTATTTATTTTGTTATTATTATTTTAAATCAGTGCTATTGGTCTTCCTTATGTCTGAGGGTTTTACAAATATTTTTCCAGTGACAAGCATTCAAAAGAGCTTGTCAGCGAAACCTCGTAACTCCACCCCGCCTCCATTCAGCATGAAGCGCCGCGCACAGCCTGGAGACAGATCTCCGCTTATTCGCAATGCAAGGGTAAATAAATAAATTATGTTTGAATAAGTGCAGCGTTTTCTTTACTGAAACACTATGTCTGTAAAGGCTAATACAGGTGCATCTCAATAAATTAGAATGTCGTGGAAAAGTTCATTTATTTCAGTAATTCAACTCAGTTTATTGAGATGCACCTGTAATTTTTTGTGTATCTGAAGAGCGGAGAAGAGTCTTAGCTTTTAGTTGTAGCCAATAGGCCTTTACTTTTGTTCTGTTTCAGCTCGATCTCAAGGCAGTACGTGCCATAGTCATGAAATTTATAGTTAATTGATTTGTGTTCAGTTATAAATATTGTATTAAATATAGAAAATTTGTTACAAATTGTAAAAACAATAATCTCGTTTTCTGGTCTCGTTATCCATATCTTTTTTTCTTTCATATAAGCGCCCTTTCAGTCTATTGTCCTTAACTCTTTCCTCGCTATTGAGGAGTTATCTCTTCTTTTAGAAGACAACGCTTCCCCGCCAAAGAGTTTTTACGGCTTTCCGTGTTTTCACTGTTGCTCGGGGCGCTATTACGCATCTTCTGAACGAGGACAAAACCTCCCGAACAAAAACACACGTGAACAGGACGGAGAAAGAGCGATCTCTATGTTAACAGATGCATATGAAAAATAATGCGATCATTAGCAATAGACAGCATATAAATGAAGACTGCATAATGTTATGGAGTAAAATGTTGATCCAGGATGTGATATACTGTATGTCTGTGCAAGCGTTGGAGGTGTTGATGGAAGTGATTTACTGGATTTGTGCTTTGATAATCGTACTGAATATTACCCAGATGTAGTTTTTGATAAAAATTTGATTTTCTCTCCTTTTTGCTCAAAAGTATGCATTTTATATGAAACCTACCTATATTCAAGTGTTGATAAAAAAAAGAATGCTTTAAGCTAGAATAAAACAGAGTTTTTTTGTTTAAAAGTAGAGTCTCTGATCTTTATTTTGGTGTATTGCATATTCAAATATTCATACAGAAAAATATACTGGAGGCCATAAAATCTTAGTGAAAAATCATCAAAATTGCTGGTGGTGGCTGGCAACTTTTTTCAAAAATGCTGGCGGGGAAAAACTTAAAGTCTTGTTTGCATGCTCCATTAATGTTTTATGTTTTGTTAGTGTTGAATATATGGGATAAATATGGGTTAAAAATATATCAATAAAAAATACAATATTTAAAAGTAGCATTTTAATTTGAGTGTATTCAACCATTCTCTGTAATCCCTTTTCACCGAAATAGCACAAATTCTGGTGCCGGTGTGTTGCCGCTGGCTGCCTCAGATACAGTCGTTCTAATGACAGACAAAACACAGATCTCCGTCATTCACTGGTCAAAAACCAACTCTATTTGATCTTGATTTTCATAAAATGTTAAGTGTCTGATAAACCACAATACCAACTCTGATGATGCAGTGTTTAATTGTATTTCTATTCTTTTTCCTATATTTCAGTGCTTAGTGGTGTGCCATTGGATTTTTTATTTATCAAAACTGTGCCCCCCACGATTTACGCCACTGCCATACCCTATGGTTTTCTGAAACGCCACAACTGTATTCAAAGATTAATAGATTGAGTTTCACAAATATATGTTAGAGTTTCACTAAAATAGATAAAATGAGATTTGCAAAATAAAAAAACATATCCACAAACATCTTTGTCACAAACACAACTCTGCCTGGCATTCATTTGCGAATGGCTTCATGTGCATTTGTGCATTTCAAAACATTTCTAGCGTTGTAATAATCGGCTTTATCGGTCGACTTACATGGGTTCAAAATGGGGACAGATTAAACTGTGTGAGATAAAATAAATGTTTTAAAAAGATGAGACGACAAATTTTTTTTGTGAAACTCATATTATATTAAATGTATATTTGTGGACCTCATTCTGTTTATTTCTTGATATGTTTATTTTTTGTGACTCTCTTTACATTTATTTGTGGATTGTAATCTATTTATTGGAACAAAGGAATAAAAATAACCCCATATACGCCACACACAAGTGAAAATGGCTCAGGCGTCATTTGTTTGCAGGTGATATTTGCGACTTATTGTAGCTTCTATCTGTGTAATGACATTCAGACATGTTTAGGCGTGGCTTAAACCGATTGGAAGAGCCTAGTGATCCTGAAGACTGGATTGGCTGCTTCAGGTGTGTTTAACTGGAGCAGCACTAGACACCCAAGGATTAAGTAATTTTGGGGCCACTGTATTTAAAGTGATTTAATAATCAATGGAATTAATGTTGTGTTTCATTTCAGCAACAACACCAGTAATAAATACCGAATAGGGATGTAACGATTCACTCAACTCACGATTCGATTCGATTCACGATTTTGATTTCATGATTCGATTTTCTCACAATTTTTTTTAACAAAATGAGACTGAAGACAAATTATACAGTAAATGAAAAGGTGTCCTTTTTTTAGGCTATTGCTGCACGTTTCTTTGTGAAATTGAAATATAAAAAAACTAAAATTACATTTTAAAACAAACCCCAAATCAAATAAATAAGTTACACATCTCTTCATATAAACTAAGGCTTTGTCTGTGCTCTTTCCATTTAAAATTAGAGGCAACCACTGCATTTTAATCATGATTCAAACAAAGATGCAGCATACATGCAGCATGAGCAGTTTTTAATCTAAATTAGACTGTATCATTTTTAAATTTGAAGCAAAAACAGAATGGCCTGACTTTAGTTTTGTGAAACTATACATAAAACATATCTTGCTGGGACATGCACAGACATTTTGAGGGGCAGGGGCTTAAGTGGAAAAAACTAAACATTTCTAAACAAAACGTCTTATTAAAGTAAAATACTTATTATGGGTAATGAAAGGTTCATATTTTGGTTTTGGGAGTCCCCAACAACAGGTTGACATGCATGCAAGGTCAAAAAACACTTTCATTGTCTTATAATATGCATTTATTTTTACCTTACTTGCTCAATGACTCCCAAACGATTCGCTCAACGGTTCATTTTTCCAAACCCCTGCTTTGCGTGACGCTAATCTGCGGTGATTGATCCGATTGGTTACATCTCGCCTGTAACGCCTGATAAAGCAGCGTTTGTGAGCGCAGTGCTGCTTTGTGTACAGTGTTACCGGGGAAACCGATATTTTACCGCAAATAATTAATTTGCATTTTCATTCAGACCAACGCGAAAAGACCAACAAGTGGGCGGGCAATATGCTAATGTTTCATGTTGACGTCCAAATGAACCGGCTTGTGATTCGTTTTAAAAACGACTCACTTCAATGATTCAGAGTCGACCTTCTTTTGAGAGACAATAACTTTATACACGGTGCACTTTCAGATTTAAAACTTTGCAGGATGTTTTCATTCACTTAGAGCTTTGTTACACACTGCATGAAAGGTAGTTTACAAAGATCCACAATAGGGGCACTTTTAATACAACTCTGATTTAATACCAATTGATTTTAATTCCCTCACACTCAATTGTTTACATTATCATCAGATGTCTACAAAATAATCAGTACACATAGAGATCATGGTCTTCTTTAGTATTCACTAATTTTATCACAAGAACAGGCAACAACAAAGGAAACTAAGCCACAATGTGCATGTTTTCTATGCTATAGTTTCAAATATATATTTAGAATAAATGAATGCACAAAGGAGAGGGACATATTTTCACTAATAATTTGTTTATTTTGCACAAGACAATACATTGTTTTAATTATTTTGTTGTTATTGTAATATATATTCCCAAGTTATATTGCCTTTGCTAAACTTTAGCTAACTTATTACATGGTTGGTCATGGGTCATGGATGTTAGCCAGACAAATTGACTGCCTTTTTTCTTTTGGAAAAATTTGCTGTATATTCGAGGCACAGGTAGCTTAGTCTTTTGTTCATCACCACTCACCTCCACACCAAGACAAACACAACTAGAAAGGGAGAGACTTCTTCGGCTATGTAGATGTGTGTAGACGTAGACGTTATGTGCCGATGTGCTACACTGCTATGCTGCGCGCCTGTGCGGAGACGCGGAGGGAGAAATACATCGGAACTCGACAGAGTCTCAACATTTCCCGACTCGACCTGATATATATATATATATATATATATTTTGTTAATTTGTTTGACAGAGAAAGCTGTGCGCAAACAGAAACACACACACACACGCGCACACATATATTCATTTATTTAAAAAAAAAAACTCCCCAGAAAAAAGGGCACTTTCTCTCGAAGAAGAAAAAGGCCAGGTACTCAAGCCCCTTTTATGTCTGTGTGCACGTGCCTGCATATCTGAACGAAACAGCAGACGAGCTGAATGAGGTGCAAATTCACTCTCTGCCAGCAGGTGGCGCTTATGAACAGCAATGATACAGTGTTTCCTGGGTTACCGCTGTAAACAAAGCAGCGCTGTGCTTATGAACACTACTTTAATATGCATCGTTCAGAGGCAAGATAAAAAGAAAATGCCATCTAAACTTTTCTAAAGACAGTCAGTTCCCCTCAGAGATACATTCATATAAACTCCTACTCCAATTGTATCGCGATTTGTTTAGCATCTCAACCGATTTGAATCATCACATATTTGAATAAATTTTCAACCAGCTCGCAGTTCATCGTTACATCCCTGATACAGAGTAATATTACATTCTGGACTTAGGTTGTTTGTTCAGAGGCTTAGCAAGATATCTGGGACACTCATTAACTCTCATTACTACTATGCAAAAACATTACCCTAACCCCAACAACAACAATGGCATGCAGCTTAAAAAAACATAGACCGTATCCAGACATCCAGGATGTTTTATTACAGTTATGAGAATTTTATAAGAGCATCATTGAGATTCATGAATGAGATGTCACCTACCTTATTTTTTGTTGATGTTGTTTTTTAATTCTCCTGCGCTCCAGTCCACGATGAGTTCCGCACCGCTGCAGTGGAGGGGCCGTTCCATGGCGTGGACCTTGAGGACTGTGGCTACAATGTCCCTCAGACCGACGAGTCCACATTGATGACCATTGCCTACATTATGGCGGGCATCTGTGCCCTATTTATGCTGCCTCTGTGCCTCATGGTCTGTCAGTGGCGCTTTACGCGCTGCCTTCATCCGCTGGGCACTGGAGATTTCTCTGATGACATATCCCTCCTAAAGTGAGCCATATCTAAACGCAGAATGATTTCAGTGCTTGTAAAACCGGCCATCCTCAAGGGTCTCAAAGAAGGGGAATTGATGATATTGATGAGACTACAGTGATTATAACTATCTATGTTATAATTGTGCATATGCACGCGCACACACACACATGCACAAACACACTCACACACACACTCGCACGCACACACACACACACACTCACACAAACACACACTCACACTCTCTCTCACACACACACACACACATACACACACACACACACACACACACACACGCACACCTATGGGCTGTCCCACCTTGCAGGATTTCGTACCCTCTGACCCTTTTTGAGTTCATGTAAAATGTGAATGATCCTTTATCTTACAGACATTTAAGTGTGGATAGATGTCCTCACACACACACACACACACACACGCACACCTTAATGGGCTGTCCCACCTTGCAGGATTTCGTACCCTCTGACCCTTTTTGAGTTCATGTAAAATGTGAATGATCCTTTATCTTACAGACATTTAAGTGTGGATAGATGTCCTGGGACTGTTCAAGTAAAGTTCTGTAAAGTTCTGTAAACTATGTGAGTGAGTGTGTCTGTGTTTGAAAGTTAGAGGGAGATTGTTCACTATATTAAGATGTCATGTTCTATAATATGATCAATATTGAGTCACTGTTTATGACATACCAGTCCCCAAAAATTCCATAAGTTCAAGTTCAAGTCTGCTTTATTGTCAATTCTTCCACATGTACAGCACATACACACAGAGAATTGAAATTGCGTTACTCTCAGACCCTTGGTGCATACAGATAACATAAATACAGATAGGTACAGAAGGAACTCATAAGGAACTCATATTACTATTACTCACTAAGGCAACATGATCTTGTGACTGTATTAATTGAAAGCTTACAGTTAATAGACCTGTATGATTTGTAATAATGATTGTCGCTAGGAGAGAACATATTTTACCCCAAAATCTAAAGGAAACAATAAGAAATTATAAAGGCACAATATGTATGATTTTTTTATTAAAATATCCAAAAACCACTTGAACAGTGTTATATATTTTGCTGACTTGTGTGCTTACATTATCCCATATGTTTCGAAGAATGTTTAAATCCAGAGAAATAAGCAATTTTAAATAGTGACACGGAGCGTGTCCATAGTGTCATTGTGTCGCCTGCTAATGACGTCATAACCCCTCGATTTCCAGTTTTGTTTTGTAGAAAACATGGAAACACCAAACACACTTTAATATGTTGTGTGTTTTAATAGACCGGTGATGACCGCACAGAGTAGCATTATCAAAGCCCTGCTGCTTTATTCCACATACGCACGACCGGAAGCGCTCGACTGTGGCATAATCAAAGCCCTGCTGCTTTATTCCACATACGCACGACCGGAAGCGCTCGACTGTGGCATAATCAAAGCCCTGCTGCTTTATTCCACATACGCACGACCGGAAGCGCTCGACTGTGGCATAATCAAAGCCCTGCTGCTTTATTCCACATACGCACGACCGGAAGCGCTCGACTGTGGCATAATCAAAGCCCTGCTGCTTTATTCCACATACGCACGACCGGAAGCGCTCGACTGTGGCATAATCAAAGCCCTGCTGCTTTATTCCACATACGCACGACCGGAAGCGCTCGACTGTGGCATAATCAAAGCCCTGCTGCTTTATTCCACATACGCACGACCGGAAGCGCTCGACTGTGGCATAATCAAAGCCCTGCTGCTTTATTCCACATACGCACGACCGGAAGCGCTCGACTGTGGCATAATCAAAGCCCTGCTGCTTTATTCCACATACGCACGACCGGAAGCGCTCGACTGTGGCATAATCAAAGCCCTGCTGCTTTATTCCACATACGCACGACCGGAAGCGCTCGACTGTGGCATAATCAAAGCCCTGCTGCTTTATTCCACATACGCACGACCGGAAGCGCTCGACTGTGGCATAATAAAAGCCCCGCTGCTTTACTCCACATACGCACGACCGGAAGCAGTGGAAGCGCTCGACTGTGGCATAATCAAACCTCCAATGCTTTACCCCACATACGCACGACCGGAAGCAGCGGAAGCGCTCGACTGTGGCATAATAAAAGCCCCGCTGCTTTACCCCTCGTTCAGCGCCTCGTTTCGCTTCGACAGCTTTCAGTCTCACCCTGCTTCATTCTACTACGTTAATAAATCATTAGCTCATCCATGAACATGATTTCTGCCTGAGTCCCGTCTGATTGCGTCGGCTGTGGGGATGAAGACCACAACTCCCATGATTCCACACTCAGTCACACCGTCATCTAACTACGCCTTTGTTTCTTTGCAGTGGTGGACAGTAACAAAGTAGTTTTACTTCGTTACTGTACTTAAGTAAATTTTTCACATATCTGTACTTTACTGGAGTAGTTTTATTTTGAGTAACGTTTACTTTTACTTCACCACATTCCAAAGCACAAGATCATACTTTTTACTTCACTACATTTTATAAAACTTATCGTTACTCCTGATAATATATCACGTGCTCCGAGACGCAGAAGCGGTGTCTGATTCATAAATGAACTGATTCTTTTCAATGAATCGGTTCACAAATCGCACCAAACGATTCATTCACGAATTGAAATGATCCAATTGCAGCTGTTCTCGAGTCGACAACTCACTGATTCAAATGATCCGTTTAGTGCGAGTCTCCAGTGAACTGAATTCACAAGTAACAACCGAGAGATCTTGTGAGCGCGCGCGTGTCTGATGCTGTTAAAAGTAAGTTACTAATGTTGAATTTTTGGATTAATGATTGTAACTGAAAATCGTATTTAGGTCAAAGCTGTCAGTTGTTTGTGAACTAAATCTGCTGTAAAGGGTGATCTATTTAAGCCCACTGAAATGCTTGAATGCAGACACATCAACATCAGAGTCTCTATGTTTTTTTGGTAAAAAAAAAACATTAAAATAACACAGATTAAATAAAATAACTCATGCACGTTCATCTTCCCCGCTGCTGTAACGTTAGCAGTTTTACTAAAATGCTACGCATTTAGCCCTATGTGACGTCTGTTTTTATATTGTTTGTCAGCACACATAGCCTAAGTTACTATGTATCTGGATCAACTAGCCGAGTAGACAAATATAAATGTTTATTCATAACCATGCTGAAAATAAGTCAATGTTAGCTGATGCTAACTGTCTAGCTAACAAGTTTGCTGGTGCTAAATTGAGGTGATTCAAAAAATAATAAATCCAAATATTTTTATTCAACCACCTAGATAGATTACATCTGAGGGAAAAAGAAAGGATGTGATGTTCAGAACATGGTAACTACAGTAATTATCAAAGTGGGAAGTGATGCCCTCTGGGAAAATCCCAGGTATTTTGAGCAGTAGGATTATAAAAAAATATATGCTAATATGAAATTAAATTATAAAAGTAACATATATAAAACTACAAAATAAACATTCATCTATCGGTACTTTTTACTTAAGTACATAAAAAATCAAGTACTTTTGCACTTTCACTCGAGTAAAATTGAAAACTGAGTACTTTTACTGGAGTAATATTTTATTATACGGATCTGTACTTTTACTCAAGTACTTGATTAGTGTACTTCGTCCACTACTGTCTATTTGTTTATTTTGAATATGCGCCCTCTAGCGGCAAAAATTACATATTGTGCCTTTAAACATAAAGCCTATTTTAGGACTAAGCAGGTTTTTTTTCATTGCAATTTTAGTAACATTTTCTATTAAATTTTCGTTACCTCGATGAAAATAAATTAATAAAATACTAATATTATTATATATTTAATATATTATTTAAACTGCTTTCCATTTTAATTTATGCAGTGGTCTTAAAATAGTATTCATTTTCTTTATGCAAATAAAAAAGATTTTGCAAAAAAAATTTTGTGGTCAGATATTACCTGGACACGTTTTCTAAAGAGTTGCTCTAGAGCAGTCATATCTAAATTATTTAACAAATATTCATCCGCTTTTGTATAATTTCTCTGGACACATATGGGTCTGTAATGTTGACTTCACATTGCAAATATGATTGCGCACAAACACACAAACACACACACACACACACATAAATGTAACCAAACAATAAATGCACCTAAAACAATTGCTGTCTATCGTTGTGCATATAATAACTCACATTAGGAAAAGCACATATTCTCACATCATCTTAACCAAACCTTCAGTTTAAGCCAGAACAAAATTTGTCTACACTGAAAGATCTGCAAAACAGGTTCCTACTGCTAACAAACTTAATGTATTAATGAAAATCGAAATGGGCAGCTCTTACATTTAATAAAGTATAATACACCATAATGTGTGGTCTTATTTCTTGGTGAGTATGTGATACAGCATGGAAAGCTGCCCTTTGCTTCCCCTTGTGTACAGAGGTAATAATTGAGTTCTCAGCAAATGCGTTCTTAGATTCGAGATCACATAATTGTAGATTTGATGGAAGATAATGTTAAACAATGGTGTTCTTTAAATAGCATGATTAAAGATTGTGTCTGCCTCCCAAACAACACTATGAAGCTATGAAGACTGTTCCAGAATTTAGGCAATAAATAGGAAAATAATCTATTTCCCACAGATCTGGATGTTATTGATGCCATCATTTTGACAATGCAGTGATTTCTTATTTCTTGTTAATTTAGCCACTGTAGTAAAAACTTAGTAAACCTAATTTTTCTGTAGGTATAAACACTATCCTTCCACAGCTTTAAGGGCTGTTCTCTTGAGGGTGCAAGGAAGTGTAGCCTGTATCAATGGCAGTGCCCATAGCACAAGATTGTTGTACAGTTTATCACAGATACTTAATTTAAATCAATCAACCTCAGTTTACAATCATTACCTGGGTATGATGAAACAAAGAAAAATGTTATTCCAAAGCATTTCATAATTTAATGGGAAGCACAAAAGCTTACTGTATGTGAGACACTACAGAGTCCGAACATCTTTTTTATGAAAGAAATGCACGAATAGAATACGAGCAACATATCTGTCACAAATCCTGTCTGTGGTCTTTCGTCCGCTCGCCACCAGAGGTCGCCCTCACATTACATCGACTCCCACACTAGACAGACTGTTACGTGTCACTCCGGACTACATTCCCCATGTTCCATTGCCCTGATTATGGACTCACCTGCAGCCAAACACGAAAACACGTTTCTATTTTCTTTTTTATTTTCAAT